TGTGTTCAACAAGCACTTATTACGGCCTTTCTCCATAATGGGCACTGCACAAGACCAGGGCTACAAAGACAAAAATGGCACTAGTGCCTGCCATCATGGAGCTTATGTTTTGTTTTGTTTTTAACTGGGAAGTCTTACATCCCATTATCTATCATCTATTTTTATTCTTTTTATCCTTTTCTTCAATAGACTAAATCAGAACAGATTCTTCTAAATGATCACTACAATTTAGTATCCTTGACATCCCAATCATCCTAACCCTAACCCTCAACCTCTGGTAGGCTCCTTAACCCTCTCTGACCTCCACCAGGTCATTACCTTTCATGAAAATCTATCAGAGGAATGTGCTATTTCTTTGGCTAGGAGGTGGTTAGCAGGAAGGGAAGGGAGAGAAGGGGATTTACAGGTCTGAATGTATTTCCAACACTCTGCTGCTCTTCTGACTTCTAAGAGAACTCAGAACTGAGTTCATAAAATAAAAGCCAAGAAAAGGAGTTCTAGACCCAGTCCCCTGAGAAAAGCTCTACATGAAATAAAGACTCTTGGCAAGGAAACAGAGAGAAGGGATAAACGTCTCAAAGTCATAGATAAGAATTTTAGTTGATTCTGCTTCACCTTCCTCTTCCTAATCTAGATCAAACTGATATCCCATTCCCAGAACTAACTTCATTTCATAATGGCTTTACTTCAAGGTTAAAGATGTGATAATTAATTGCTCTAAAAAGCAAATCAACCTAAGTCTATCTTCTTTCCATTCTAGTGGAGTCTTGTGCTTGGCATTTCATCGTCTAAACTTCAAGCCTGACCTCTATAGGTAGGTAAATGAAATACATGTCTGCCAGTCATCAAGGTCCTAGGTTTACTTTTTAGTCTTTTAAAATTGCAGAAAGAAAAAAAAAACTTATGAGAAAAGGAAACACTGAAGGAATAAAAAAATCTCATTAAGTTTTTTTTAAAGTCAATCAAGTTTAGCTTCAAAAATGTTTTATGAAATTCAAATTTCTCAATGCATTAAAAATACCCATTTTAAAAATCAAACAAAATTGAATCACTTTAGTTACCTATTGTCTTATAGCTATAGACAATGCAAAATTATTTGGATTAATTGCATTCTTTAAAACATGTGCATCTAAAGTGTCCTGATTGGTGCCACCTTTCTCTAATCATAACCAACTATTCTAACAAACTACCCTTTGTCCATTAACTGAGTCCCCTCTGTTCTCACAAACCTACAGCACAGGTTGCCATAGTTACCCTGCATGTCTATTTACCACACAAGTGATCAAAGCAAGCAGACAACACACACATACACATATTCCCCAAACTTGTGAGACTGTCTACTAGAAATATCCAGCTACTAATTAACTTTATTCACAGCTTATGGCCTCCATATACTAAAAAAACATAACATAATACCCCACAAAGGCCATCTCAAAAATATTTTAAAGAAGAAAATAGTATGACAAATAAGGATCTCTAAGCTTATGGGGGGAAGGGAGGCTTGTGGCTGTAATGTATCCAGAAACAGTCAAGGCAAGGAATAAATTAAGAAGTTAAAAGTATGCTAAAGAAGTTGGAATATACAAACCATGTGCAGAAACTTTAACATCTGCATCTAAAGAGTCTGTTTTTCAAATGCATAGCTAAAATTCCAGTTACTTAGTTTTCTTTGTATAAAATGGCATAAAAGTTGCATGATCTCTTATCTCTAACAAATGAGCACAGAAATAGCTTTTTGAGTTTTAAGACTTTACCTTCAACTCAAGTGCTATCAAATAATTCCATCTCCAATTGCACCTCTTTAAACCATGAGATTTGCTTATAGGCACTTATTTCAGATAAGGCTGGATCTGCTTTAATCCCTAGAACAGCCTTTGGGAGCCCAAGTCTAGGAAGATAGCTTAGCTCTGGTGGCTACAGCAGTGCTGGACATTCCTCATCTTGCCACTAACTCCCTGTATATCTTTGTACTTAACCTCACTGTTCCTGTCTCACCATTTGTCCAATGGGATCATATTTGCCACCTACCTCTCTTAGGGATGTGCTAGTGAATAAATAGATCATGTTTGTAAAGCACTTTCTAATCCTCAGAGGAAAGATTAATACAAAGACTTTCATTATTAAACCAGATGCCCTTGGGCATGTTAATACCAACCCAAAGAATGCAAAACAGGCTAATCACACTGAGCCACAGCTTCCTTAATAATGGCAGGATCGCCTTCCCTGGGAGAATTTAGGAGGTGCTTAAATTTTGAATCAGCCCCTTTTTGTCTCTTCAGATTTTTTAAGGCAACTTAATACAGTCTATTTGCTGAGAAGTTGGAAGTCTCGATCTTTAAAACAGAATTTTCTTCTGAAGTTAAGCCCATCAACTCTGACCAGTTCTGTCTGAAAATATTTTTACTTTGAGAAGCACACATTTGTTCCCATCGTTGGGGACAAAGGATATTCACTGTTTGGGGAACATCCCTGGAGTTACAAGGCTGCCAAATGCCAAACCTGTTGTTTTTGGCCAAGGTTTCTGAACAGGTGGTTGTAGCTAAGTATTTGCCTGGGAATGAGCATTTTATTCTCAGTGAAGTTTCAGTCAGGTTTTCTATTTCTAATCAGAATAGAAATATGTCTGATCATAGTTGGAAATCAGCTCTTAATAAGGAAACAGCAGATTTAACAGTTTTCTTTGGACTGATCTAGGCACAGTCTAAAGAAACTTTAAGGAATGGTGCCTCCTTCCCATTCCATGTTTGCCATCCTGGTAGAGAGAGTCCAACACAATTTGAATCTTATCATTTTGACAAGCAGCTTTCTATTTTCTGCTGGCAATTTCTAGTCTGCTTTTGAGGATAGTCTATAGCAGCAGTCTATTCTGAGCCCACACACTATTGTTCAGCAGCCTCTGGGACAGATCATTCATCAGCATGATATTGAATTTCATTGCTAAGCTGATGACACACGGGCCTGTTTGATAGTTAACCCTGCAAATCCAGCTAGCGCTGAGGGCCTGTGATGACAAATTGACGGGTGGACCAATAGAACATGCCTGGTCTTCACGATCATTTTCCTTTGGAGATATTAAAAAATAAAAAACTAAGATTAATCTATGCCAATAATTCTGTATCATCTCAGTTTCCAAATACTTGGATTCTGCTCCAGCCTGTCCTCTGAACATTGTGTACAGATTTCCAAGGCTCAGGAGACTTAGTGTTTCTTGCCAATTCTCATCCCCACCCTACCCATTTTATTCCTTTTTTCCACCTACCAAATACTCAGTGGTTACAAAATGTAAACCATCTACATTATGACTTAATTCTAAAAAGCTGGAAGGCCTGACCTCATGGGCTTTTCCAGTTGGGTAGCCAGAGAGATTAAAAAGGTCTGCTGAGCATACCCTACTCAGAAAACTGCACCCCCACGTTTGGATGGATGGATTGTCATTTAGACTCAAACACAGAGGTCACCAGTCACCCAGGAGAACTAGAAGGGAGATAATATTGTGAAGAGTGACAAGATCATACAAGAGAGGGACAGGTGGCAGCCACACTGCATCAGATAACTTTTGTTTCTCCCTAAGAACTTTAAAAAAAAAAATTTCTCAATATCCCTTTATGTTGAGCTTTCTTTCCCTATTACCTCCTGACTACACTATATGAAAATAAAGTTCTTCTAATTTCAAGACAATGAATCTCCACTCAGAAATATCTCAGAAACACCCACTCAGAACACATGTCACTTTCTAGACTCAGGTGTATTTTCCTTTACTCAACCGAAATTTGTCCAGAACCTATTTATTCCACAGCATATGTTTTGCTATGGAACAAGCAAATGGCCAGACAATAAGCACTAATGCTATCATTCAACTGAGACCTGCCTTCCTCGACTTACCTCCTTATGGTTTTTGAAAAATGATGAAAGTTTAAGCATCATCCAGTTAAAAAAGCCAATCAAACAAAAAAAGCCATGCACTTAATGCAAATTGTTTCAGCAAAACAAAACACCTTTTTCAATTAGAAAAAAAGAAAAGGTGACTACCTCTTCTGGTTTCACTGCAGGTGCGAGTTTTTCCCACCCAAGTGTATATTCTGAGTTGCCAAATGCTATTTTCAAAATTCTGTGTCTAACATGAAGAGCTACTGCTATATTTGCTCTTCCTTAAACAAAGTATTTATCTCTAGATCTCAACATGGATTTTCAAAACTTTTTCATAACTCTGACTGAATTTTAAGTTCCATGCCTTGGGGGGTTTGTACTGCACAGCCTGCTTTTAAACAGCAAAGCTGTAAACTACTAGGTAGATAAAGTATTTTGTCAGTACCCCACAGCTATGGGAAGAGGCTGTTCCTTCAGGAGTTTTATTTTTTTGCTTTTTTTTTTTAAATGATTCTAAAGATGATCTTCATTTATTTTCAGTAATGCTTCCATAAGTCAAGAAGCTAAAACGTAATTTATAAACTACATTAAAAGACAAGTTTTTTTTTTTAAACTTTAGACATTCATTTATGCTTTCCACAAACTGGTTTTATATTGTGCCTTCACCTTTTAAATGCTAAAACCACTCCAAACTATTTCATGCAATTCTTTTTTCTCTACATTTAATTTTCTTTATTCTAAACCTGATACATCAGATGCAGTCAAGAAACCTGAGACACCCTTCATACAATACACATCAATTGCAGCAAACTGGAATTGATTTACATGTTTTACAGCTAGGTTCTATGTCCTTACAAGGTCTAGTAAGCAACCTAACATCAAGAAAAACGAGCCTGGGAAAAGGAGGGTCGAGGAGAATCTCCTCAGCTCCTTCTTACTCTACAGTTTTTTTTTTTTTTGTTTTGTATTTTTTTTTTTTAAAGTCAACTCCCTTTCCCCCTGGAGAACTATAAATTCCAGAAATAAAGGTGACAGTTCCACCAAGTTCCCCAAAGTAAACTGCCCTGGCGCTCCAAAGCAGCTCTTTCCCCGTCTCCGCGCCCTGAGAATTCACTCCCCAACATGTACCTTACCTGCCTCATGTTTAGAATCCCATTATCCATCCAGCACGGAACAGTCAGCATTTAAACTCACAGTGAAAGCTCAGAGTAGTAAAATAGCAGCAAAATCCATGAAAGGTTTCTGAGACGAACAACAAACAAGTTTTCTACCCACCCACCCCCTTTTTTAAAAATCTTTTTTGCTACCGAAACACTCCGTAAGACAATGTCAAGTTTCTCAACCTTTTTCTCCTAGCCTATTAAAAGTCAGGCATAGGGAGGCAACCGACCGCCTGGCTCTTATTTCAAATCATGGCTCGGATATGTAGTAGTTGGCTGAATTAGGCCATGAAATAGCTTCACCAATCAGAGTGAAGGGGAGGGAAGTATAACACATAAAGGCTGCCTACATGAGGATTAGGAAAGCTTTCAAGGATTTAAAAGACTGAAAGCAGCTGGAAACTGTGTCTAAGGCTACAAAAAGGGAAGTCAATTTGGGGCATAAGAGATGATTTCCACTCTTATCTAACTGCTCTGGGTCTGCTCAAAGTTTAACTGGATGCAGAGAGTAAAATCTTTGAATCTTAAATGGTCACTATAAAAAAAAAGTCAAGTATTTTGGAAAGTGTGAAATTATTTTTAAGGGAAAGATTTCATCACTTGGGACATAATTTTTTTAAAAAGAGACTTTGTTTTGAACTAACTGCTCTTCCAATTCCTTAAGAGAGGAAATCAGATTGTTATCCACAGCACCTTAAACCAAACAAGCGATAGAAGAGGGAAGAAAGTAATCTACTTCATTTCCATATAGATTAACTGTAAATCTACCTGAATGAAATCCAAAGGAAAATGCAAACAGATCTATTGAAATGCAGCAAAACTAGGATTAAGAAATCTGTTCTACTCTAGAGGAATATATCTATTTAATCTAGGTAAGCATCTACATCTACATATATTTGGCCTTCTTAGACATTCTAAATATATACATATATATTTTATGCAAAAAATAAAGAAAAATATTTTTACCTCTACTACATCTGCCCAATAGACAGATGTTTTGAACTTAATTTATAATATACTCATATGAGTCTTTTGGGCTTGTTCTAAACGAGCCTTTAGCAGAGATAGCTCACTTTTTGTCTTGGACCCCTTCTCAGAACAGTGTTTTTAAATGCATAAGATAAAATACATGAGATTTCAAAGGAAAACAAATACACTGAAATACTATTATCAAAATATTTTAAAAATCAAAGTTCCTAGACCCCCAGGTTAAAAACTCCTGTCCCTAGAGTGAGGAAGGGATGATCTCTCAGTCACATAGTATTTAACAATCACTTTGGAGTTCTTGTTTTCCCTAACCTGTGGCTAATTCCATGCTAATTGAAACTGACCTTAAGACTTCAGAAAATAAAAAATCTAGGCATGATAAAGATGGAATTCTTTTAAAGAGCCCACAATTTTTATTGATTTTTGTAACAGCAGTAGCAGTTCATAGTAAAATAAAACCTGTTCAGAAGAATAATTTTTAAAATATAAATTTTCTCTGGCTGCTGACATCATTCACCCAGCAAGAAAAATCAGGACCTCATATACCATCCTTGATAGGTATGTTTCACTCCATAAGTTATGCCTCCCCAGCACATTGAAAATGGAGTAATTTCACATCCTGTAATATAAGCTTTTACAGCAAAAGACACCAACTTGCTTTAGGGGTACCCAAACTCAGTCTACTAATCCTGGCTCTCAGGCTCATCAACTCCAGGCAGGACTTGATCCACTGAGCAAAAGGACCTATTCTAAAGATGACTGTTGTCACTGATTGTTCCTGAGTATGTGGCTGAATATAACTGATGAAACAGGCTGCCCCCTAAGACAGCTCCTAAGCACGTAGCTCTACTAGTTAGGATCTTATTTCTTTGGTATAATTTTCTTCCACCACTATTTAGTATTTTCCCAAAGCACAGGAATCCTCAGCCTTCCCTAACCTCCTTTTTGAGTGGTGTCCATCCTTTCCACCTGTGGTGGAAAAACTCTTAATGTGATCAAATAATACTATGGTAATAATGGGTGTTATGAAGGGTCACATCAGTTTTTTTTAATAGAACAAAAAGAAACATTAAAAGCAGGACAGTGTTGTTGAGTTTTTTCAGTCCTGTCTGACTCTCTGTGACCCCATTCAGGGTTATCTTGGCAAAGATGCTAGAGTGGTTTGCTATTTACTTCTTCAGCTCATTTGCCAGATGAGGAAACTGAGGCAAAGAGGGTTAAGTGACTTGCCCAGGACTATGCAGCTAATAAGTGTCTGAGGCCAAAATTGAACTCAGGTCTTCCTGATTCCAAGGCTAATGCTCTATCTACTGTGTCACCTAGCTTCCTGCAAGGATAGCTTACAGACAACCTAAACTGATCAAACTGAAAGCTTAGACCCAGGGAATCAAGTAAAGAAACAACAACCACCACCAGGAAAATCAGGGCATAAGAGCTGCATTTTAAAAAGAAGAACGCCCAATATAGAGTTCTATTTCCTTAGTTTCTAGTTAAGATTGCTTTATTGGCAGTAGTCAAGGAAGGGTAGAAATTCTCTGATGAGCCTTTTCTCTTCACCTTACTTGATTCCCCAAGGCTAAGTTTACAATTTGATCGATTTAGGTTCTTCTGTACTGTCCTTGCTTTTAATGTTTGTTTTTGTTTTATTAAAGAAACTGAGTATGTCAGCCCTTCATACAGCCCATCCTAGTCTTTTTTTTCCTCTCTAAAACCCACAGCTTAGCTATTCATTTTAAACTCCAACATCTTGCATTTCCAAACCATCTGGATCACATGTAGCTAATGTTTTCCAAGGACATTAGCATATTATACTCACACATCTTGCTCTGGGATGGTTCAGTATTATTATTTCCCTGAGTTTTGCATGTGTAATACTTCATATAGTCATCTCACATCTCTGAGCCTCAGTTTCTATTTGTAAAGTGAAGATCATAATATTGGCACTGCCTTACTCATAATGGTGTCATAAGGAAAGTGCTTTTTAAACATTACAGTGTTATATGTATATAGTTATTATGATTTCATCACATTTGTCCCACTAGTTTCAATTTAATTAAATGAAGCAGACAAAACTAGTCATACTTGATTCCTTTTGACCATTGTACATATCCAATCAGTGGCCATATCTTTTCATTTCTTTTTCTAAAACAGTGATTCTTAGACTTTTTGGTCTCAGGACCCCTTTACACTCTTAAAAATTATTGAGGGTGTCCAAATAGTTTTTGTTTATATGGGTTGTATTTATTGATATTTACCATATTAGAAATGAAAATGTCTTGGTATTATTATGAAAATAGTTTTGACTTTGAAGATACCCTGAGAAGGTCTTGGGAACCCTCAGGAGCCCCCAAACCACACTTTGAGAATCACTGCTCTAGCACAGAAGTATCAAAAACACCAGTGGGACATTATGACCCCCTGGTCAATGGTACCCACACCACTCCTTAAATAGTATGTGGTGAATATGTGATTTTCTGGGTCAATATGTACCTGTGGGGATTCTTCTGTATTGGGTTGGTGGCCTCCCATTTCTATTTGAGTTTGACACCACTGCTCTAGGTTATCTCTCACATATGTTTTCTTTTTTCTACTCACATAGCCAACACCCTGGTTCAGGTTCTCATTACTTATCACCTGGTCTATTGCAATAGTTTTCTGACTGGACTCCCTGCCACAAGTGTCTCCTCTTTCATATCTATCCTTCACACAGCTGGCAAAGCGATTTTCCTAAAGCACTGATATGACCATGTCACCCTCCTACTTGGTAAACTACAGTGGTTTTAGGATCAAATATACACTCTCTCTCTGGCATTTAAAGTTCTTTATAACCTCGGACCGTCCTATCTTTCCAATCTTTTAACATGTTATTCCCTTTCACATACTCTACTGGCTGTTTCTCATACACAGAGCTCCATCCCTTCCCTCTGTCCCTTTACAATGACTGTCCCCCAGGCCTGGAATGCTATGCCTCCTAACCCTAGACTCTTAGAATCTCCAACTTCTTTTAAAAAACTGAACTTGCTCCCATTAAGATTCAGATCAAGCACTACGTGGATAATCAATGGGCTGTATGAAGTGGAAGTTTTTTGCCTACATAGTTCTAGACTAACCATGCGTTCTAGAATTTTGACAGGAATTGAATCAGGTTCACTGGCCTATAGTTTGTAGACTATATTCTCTTCTCTTTGAAAAAATGAAGCTTTTATTCCTTTCTAGCCCTGAGGTACATCTTCTACTTAACATAATCTTTCAAAAATCCCTCACATATAGAAGAGATTTGTTTTTCTTGGCCCTAGAAGTCAGAACTAGGAATAATAGGTAGAAGTTGTAGAGAAGTAGATTTAGGCTTGAGGTAAAGGAAAAAACAAAACAAACAAAACTTCTTAATAATGATAGCTGTTGGAAAAAGATATGGGCTGCCTTAGGAAGTAGTGAATTCCTCTTCATTGGAGGTCTTTAAGCAGTGATTACTTGATATAATGATAGGGATTCTTGTTCAGATACAGATGGACCAGAGGTCTCTGAGATCTTATTAGACTCTGAGATTCTGTAATAGACATAATTTTCTATTTCCTAGGGCAGAGGAAAGAACTGGGCAGAATATTATGAATTAATCAATACTTCAAAAGATAAAGAATTTCACTAAAATGGGTACTTACTCCACTAATAAAAGCCTTTCTAATGATAATTTATGATATCCATAAGTTTCTATGACCAAAAATAAAAATGAAAAGAAAAAGAAAAATCATCTGATGGCTAAGTTATGGCAATATACTTCCCTATACCTAAATAGCCTGATCATTAGGCAGCTTATGCATAGTCCATTTCTAGGCCTGTATTCTAGACCTTTCCAGCTTGATAAGACCTTTTGGGGCCTGTGTTACACTGAAAAAAATTCAAGAACCTGATGCTACCTCTATAACCTAATTAGGCATCATAGTAGAACTTTAGTGGAGGGAATGAATAATAAAAACAATGACAAGGATAAATATTATCTCAAATTTATATAACACTTTACAACTTACAAAGCATTTTCACCATAAAGCTCAGGATAGAGATAAGACAAGTAATATTATCCCAACACTAAAGTTGAGAAAAGTGAAATTATTTGCTCAAGATGACATAGCTATTAACCTTTGGAGTTAGAATCAAGCCCTGTATTCTAACTCAAAATTCAATACTTTTTTTTTTTAAACTGCACTAAGCTGCTAAAGACAATTAAGGAAAGATGGT